ATGACTTTTCAAATAAGACACAAAAAACATTTGTTCATACTACCCTTTGTTGACTATAAATAGAGGGGCATCCTCTCATTTTTCAAACACAATTTTTTCAATCTTCTACTTTTCTTATTCTTGCATTTCAAAACTTTTTGTGTGATATATGGTCGTTGAGGGAGTTCGAAGTTTAGCGGAATATGAGGCACCACTATTCTAAGAAGTAAGTCTAAATTTATTTGTAGTCTAAATTCATTTGTTTTTATTAACAATTTCTCTTGTGATGTAGATATATGCTTCTGAATATCTTTCCCAAAATTTAGAGAACTGTCACAATTTGTTTTTGATGCTCAAGACAAAAGAATGACTTTATTTATCAATGTTACTTATGTGATTTAGACTCTCATGAAGTTTGCTTCAAAATAGTCATTACTATATAAACATTGCCCTATTGTTTTACTTATTCACTATTTCTTAATATTTCAGCATCTTAGACGAAGAAAAATTCATATGAATTGTAATAACGTCAGTTGGAGTTTGTATTAGTTTAATTTTTATTGTTTATTTAATAGTTAATTTTATGAGATAAATATTTTCATTAATGCAAATATATATTTATATTTGGGTAGGTATTTGTATTTAAATTTAAGTATTATATATGTCACAAATGTATTATCAAGTTAACAAGATCTTCTAACTTCAAAATATATTATTTTAAAATGTTTCGTAGTTTTTTTAAAACTCGCAACATATGTGAAAATATGTGAATATATAAAATGTAGTTGTCCTCTTCACATGTTCATATGACATCTATACAATTTAAAGTGGAATACATATGCAAAGCACGTCTTGTTAGATGACAAGAAAAATACGAAGCAATTATTATCTATAAGGTAATATTAATGAGATAAGACTAATTGCATGATTGAACCTCATCAAATTGAAATAAACATATACATTATTACATTAACTAATAAAATTTGTCATTGACCATCTTCATAGGTTTGCGTAAATAAGAGATATATATGACGATCCACGTTGAACATTCACAAAAGAATCTGCAATATTATTTTTTGTCTAAGCTTATTATTCAAATCTTTGCTTAAATAAGCAATACTATTTACTATAACATATATTCCTATTTCTAGACTTGATTTGTTTTAGTTTCGGTGAATCACAGTCCCCTGACATTTATATGTGTTACTTCTGACCTTTACATCTTACTGCTACCCTCTTGTATGCATCACATTCACACCAACTCTGCTTCACAGTCCAAAAGGAAAATACCATACAAACTAGCATGTACAGGGCACTAATCAACTTTGTTACATCCCTTTGAGGCAACAATTATATGGACTATTATTGGTTCTTCTGCTTACCTGCAGTCCCCTGTCAATTATAAAAACTGTCTTTATAATATATAAATATATCTGTTGTTGCTAGCCTTAGGTTACCCACACGGTGCATCTTATTGATAACGTTTTTTAAACATCAAATTACTGCCAATTATTGCAGACTATTACCATACACTACCCTCATCAATAGTACTAATACGCATTTACCCTTGGAGTTAACATTGTTGCACTCATCTCCCAGGTACCTGCACTCATCGAGATTCAGGCCACATGGCGGCTGAGACACAAAGATTGTTGTGAACAAACTGCATCACTTGTTGAACATCTTCGTAGGGGTTATCATACTGGTCATCTGTCTTTTTATACTCAATGTTGCCACTACACATTTCCTGGTCTTTATGAGCTCTTAGGCTCTTCTGGTCGTATTCATGTTTGGAAACACTGCCAAGACAACATTCAAGGCAATAATATTCTTATTTGAGATGCACCCATTTGATGTAGGGCATTGCGTTGAAATAGACAGAGTTCATGTAAGAATTCATCCACTCTAATATTGATCTTTAGATACCATTCGACTTTGTATATTAAAGGACCTTTTCTGATTATTGGGTTTCAGCTGATTGTAGAATAGATGAATACATTGACAACGGTACTCCTGAAGTACGATAACCTGAAGATCATATATCCCAACAATGTCTTATCGACAAAGCCCATAAGTAACTACTATCGTGGTCCTGAGATGCAATCGAATTCTGCATGCATATCTCAACTCCTATGGAAAAAATAGCATTGATGAAAGAGAAAATAACAAGTTATATACAACTATTCATCTTCCATTGATAAAGTTTAGTTGTTTCCTTTACAGATCTCTTGCGTTATAGTGGTTGACTTGCTCTTTTATGATGCTCATAATAAGAATACACTCATCTTAGTAGTCTCTCTACACACATATCACCTATCTTGACTCTTTTTTTGGAATTATTATTGTTGGTAAAATAGACGGAACAAAACACCCCCTTTTGACATGCTTCTCAGCATAAGCAAGAAACCAGTTACTCCTCTGTTTCAATTTCTTTGTCTTACTTTCCTTTTGAGTTCGTTTAAAAAAAACATCTCTTTCCTTTTTGCAACCTTTTAACATCAACTTTCCACATCACAATGCTTAAGACCATAAGATTCAAAAGTATTCTTAACTTCCTAAAACTCCATATACCAAGTCAAAACCAAACAAACAAATTGAAACGAAGTGAGTAATATTCTTTCCGTTATAATAATTTATGGTATGGCTTCTGTTCTGTTAGGTATATTCAGATCAAAACAAAAGTGATCATTGGTATCCAGATACCTCAGTTGCGAGGAGGGATATTGAAGACTTAAACAGGATAAGATGGTCAGTATGGATTACACACAGAATGAATTTTAAAGACATGAGAGAGAGATGGGCAAGGAGAGCCCTTTTAGTTGAGGAAATGGTTAATATATTCAGATAGCTAGATATTGAGTATCATATGCTCCCTCTCGATGTCAATGTTCATAATATGCCACAATTGTTGTCAAGCAGAGTCCCTTCTAACTGGTCTCTTTGTGCATAATCAATGATTGAAGCGTCTACTCATCTGAAAATCCTCACCAGAGACCATTAATGAAAAGTGTGTTTGTTAATGAAGCATTGTAATCTTGAAAATTGTCTATGAGTTTAGATGGTAAAGCAATTTTGATCAGTCAATATATGGGGAGTTATGTACCTAATGAGCTGGTCTCACTTTTAGTTGAAAATTTAGTCAGCTATTTAGTTTGATACAACTCAATACAAGTGGAATCCACACCCTTTATGATCGCGTCAAACAAAGACAACTACTAAAGAAACAAATACCAAATTTTGTGTTCATATTGTTGCGTGTTGTATAAATAATACCCCGATGAATTATGTAACAAATAGTGAGGGCAACACTACTGTAACTTTTATCGGTGGTATCACCACTTCACCATTTGTATGGAATTTATGGTTATCAACTATTCAGTAAGTTACTTTTATAACAAAGGCAGTGCCAAAAAACACCATGAATAAGTAAATCACTCGAGCATAAGGCAGTATTATTTAGGAATCTATAATTGGAGACCCATAAATAACGGTTACAACTATAGGAAAAGTCATCTACAAAAAAAACAATATATTGTGACTAATATAGTCTAATACATTTACATATTCATGTCAATCTCAAGACGAGGCAACCACGTGCAATGCACGTGCGGTGAATCTAGTATTATATAAGTGAACAAAAAGCATTATTGCGCTATTAAAAAGGTTGCAAGATTCATCTTTTTGTCTATTTTTTTTTAAGAAACTCACGCCACTAACAAATAAAAAGTGTCAAGTCGAATGAATATATGTGACACGGTTAAACTAGTCAAGTTGGGTGATTTTTAAATTTTTTAGATATTAAGGGTTTAAATCATGTTCAGACAAAATATATTCAAATTCTAAATATTCTTTGTAAAAAAGTATGACCAAGTACAACTCCAACTTCAAAAAATTTAATAAAATAATAATTTGTTTTTATTTTCGTAACTAAACGACTACGTATTTTCACTAAATTTCAAGCATTTTTGTACATCGTATAAAATGTGATTTGCATTGTATATCGTTATGTACTAAATATTTTATTAAAGAAAATTTCTAAATAGTTGAGTGTAATATTTTTAAAATGAATTTTTTTACATAATTTTTCTAACCATCGGAACCTACTGTATAAATATTTCAAGACTTATGTATTATTGCAAGTCAATTTACTTGATGATGCAAAAAATGAGAAAATGATCAAAATGATCCTTAATGTATAGGGGTTGAAGTGTTTTGGTCCTCTTTATATACCACTTAATAGATATAGTCCTTAATGTATGTAAAATGTGATCATTTTGATCCTAACCCTAAAATATAACATAGTATCTGTTAACTTTAACGGGAAACTCAAAAAGCATCCTCCTCCTCTACACTCTCTCTCCTCCTTCTTCCTCGGCTGCTTCTGCAATTGGATTTCACGTTCTTCTC